TTCGGGGTTGAGGTGTTTTTTGGTTCCTAGCCCCAGCTTTTTACTGGCCCCGGCTCGGCACAAGCTGGGGGTTGGTGGCCGCATCGCCAGCATTACCGGCTTCTTGTCACGGCTGCATATGCGGCATGACTTCATGCTCGGGATAGCCGGCCGCATCGCCAGCATTACTGGCCTCACTCGGACGAGAGCTGCTTATTGGCTTTGATTTGGTGGCAGTTCAGGGTTGATCGGGGCTTGCTGAGATATTAATGCGGGCGGGTCTTGGGTTTGTTTGGGGTTCATTTAGCCTCGGCAAAGGACCGATATGCAGGATGCGGTTGGGAGGGTTTCAGGTTGACTTTGGGTCGGTTTTGGCTTGGTTGGGGCTGATTCGTGCTAGATGTGCAGCTGGTTTAGCCGTGGCTTTCGGGTTGCTCCAGGCACGTGGTTCTGCAAGTTTTGGGCTAGGATTGGTGGTTTGGGGCAACGCCCCACAACCAATCCCAAACCAGCCCAAAACTTGCAGAACCACATCCCTGAAGCAACCCGAAAGCCACCACGGCAAAAACCAGCCGCACATCTAGCACGAATCAGCCCCAACCAAGCCAAAACCGACCCAAAGTCAACCTGAAACCCTCCCAACCGCATCCTGCATATCAGCCCTTTGCCGAGGCTAAATGAACCCTAAACAAACCCAAGACCCGCCCGCATTAATATCTCAGCAAGCCCAACACTCACCCCAAACCAGCCCCGATCAACCCTGAACTGGCACCAAACCAAAGCCAATAGGCAGCTCTCGTCCGAGTGAGGCCAGTAATGCTGGCGATGCGGCCGGATATCCCGAGCATCAAGTCATGCCCCACACGCAGCCGTGACAAGAAACCGGAAATGCTGGGCATGCTGGGGATGCGGCCGCCCAGCTGACCAACCAACCAACCAACCAACCAACCAACCAACCAACTAACCAACCAACCAACCAACCAACCAGTCTCCGAGCCGGGGTTAAGCCCCGAGCCGGGGCTAGTAAAAAAAAAAAACCGGTTCCTAAACCCTTCCCTTCCCCAAAATGGCCAAACACTCAAAACGGATCTCCTCAAAGCTTACTCCTAGCAGGGAACTTGAGTTTGAACAGACGCCGCAGAGGAGCCCCACCTCTACTCCCCCCACCCCCCAAGCAGAAAAACATGTTTGAAGGGAACCCCACTCATCCTCACCCAGAAACGGAGGAAGAATGACAACACCCACAACACATTGCCCGACCAGAGACCCACAGGGATGTGGACTCCAGGGGTTTGGCTTCCACGGAAACTGTAACCCAAATCCAGCGAGCTGGATTTGTTCCTACGGTGGATGGACGAAATTCTGCACCACCTAAGACACCCTGGAATGATGATTCCCTTGTAACTACCAAGCAAACAATGGTTCCCCGTGGTTTCAAAATGGTGCAGGATTTCGTCCATCCACAGTATGGATGCCTCCTCACGGAGTTTGATCTCTTAACGCCGAATCAAAGAGTCCCGGTGGAGCCACAGGGGTCAAACTCATGGGCCCTTGTGGTACCCTGGTGCCACCTTGTGCCACCGTTGAGTGTTCACGCAAGGATACATTTTTCGGCCAAAGTCAAACCACCCTTACCAGGTAAGGTTTCTGCAACTTTCAAGGTATCCTAGAGGCCCTGCGAAATTTCGACCTGCGCCATGTACCTTTGTGGTTTGTTTTTCCTAAAGGGCCCTTCAAAACAGGATGGGACCCCCCCCAGGTCTCTACATGCACGTACCCCCTTTTGTGTCTGTACAGTAGCCCCTTAGCGCCTTCTTCAAAGGCAAAAAATTGGACACCTCCAACTCCTGAGCTCACCAGCTAACTAGAGTACGGGCCCCTGCTTCAAGCAAAAACAAAACAAAACAAAAAAAGCAGAACTCCCCAAAGCCACTGCTACATGCAAGGTGCCTTTTTGGTGTATATTCAAAAAAGGAGGTCCTCTGCGCAAAACGGAGACCCAAGCCTTTGACCCAAGACTCGATTCGTCGCTCGAAACGGCCGACACAGCCGCGAAAAGCCCCGCTCAGAGCTCAGTGGCTGTGCCACGTCCACGCGGTCCTTCTCCAAGGCCTCGAAGATGGCCGTGCGCGCCCGCTCCTCGGGCGGAGCTTTTTGTTGGGAGAAAAAATCGTCTGCGGGTTCGGGTCCCGGCTGTGAGTCACATGGGTGGCGCAAGCCGAAATCGAAATGGGTGGCGTGGGCTGTTTCTTGGGCGAGTCTTTTTTGGGGGGTTAGAGGCTCCAATTCGATTGATTTGGGGCCTTCAAGCAGCCTGGGTTTGCTGGACCCCCTTTTTACCAATTCCCGGGGGGTCTAATGGAGGGGTCGGGTCTTCCGGTGAAAGGTCCAGGAGCCTCTGCAAAAAATAAAAACGTCTGCGGGTCGCGGGTCCCGTCTGTGTGTCCCAACATGGGCGGCGCAAGCCCCAAAACGGGTGACTGGGGCTTCGGGTCCCTTTTTTGGCTTCCCTTGAGATCATCCGAAAAGGGGACCCCGAGAAAAAAGAAAGGGGGCCATTCGGGTGGTCTTTGGCTGAGCCTTTTTCACCTTCAGTGTTGAAAGAAGCCAGGAGCCGCGCTGTTTGTTGAAGGAAAGTCCCTCTTGCTTGATAGCTTCCACATCGTTCTTTGCCTGGGCATCCTCCATGTGGTTTGGCTTCATAAATCCGTGGACGAATTAACCTAATCAGCCTTCATGGCCACTAGGGAAATCACAGTAGTTCCCCCGAGTCTGGGGGCACACTGCTCAAAACTCCAGCCTTTTGCAGGTCTGGCTTCTTCCTCATGGGATGACCTGTGTCTTCCTTCTCCTTCAAACACAAGAGAAGGTCCATTCAATGCAATCACCTGGACGTGTCAAACATTCTGAAAACCCCACCAACATGTTTGGGGCAAACACGCACAAGAAGTGGATGGTAGATTCTTAGGCCAAAGAACCCTAACATGGGTGGTGATTGCATGTGACTGGCAACCCTGCCAACAAGCAAGTGGCAAGGAGGTGTCCGAAAAAGGTCTCCTGCCGTTGTAGGGGGATAGTGGCCTGGGATAAGCCGAGACTGAATTGTTTAAAAAATGGATCAAAATGGGTCAGTCTTCTTTGAAGGTACTAATTTCGGAGTGGTTTTGCAAACTATCCATAATTCTTGGTGTCCCTTATTTAAGACGTGCCGAAATGGGGGACCCCCAACAAGCAGTTTCTAGAGGGACACCCGCAGCCGCCCAGCCCGGGGTGTGCAGTCGAGGCTCGTCCACCTCGTGTGGGGAGTAGCCGTCCAGGACCAGCTGCTGAACCAGCGAAACCTCAAACTTCCAAAAGCGAAGACGCCTTTTGGGATGGCTTTAACAAGCAACCCAAAAAAGAACCAACCACCCGAAGGGTCCTCTATTTTAAATACATACTCTCATAAAACCAGGTAGATTCAGAAACTCACATAAGTCATAATCAAAACCCGATATTTTCAATGGCCAGAGCCATGGAAAGAATCAAGAAGGCGGCCGAAGCTATTCATGGTTGGGATTGGCCCTTACTAACCTTCAGCTACCCGGGTTTCGATTGTGGATCTAGTGACCCCCCTTTGGGCAACTGCCCCATTCAAGTTTCCTGGCCCTGGTAAGCAACCGTCTGTTCTTCCGCATGGGTGTGTCTTTGTTTGAGGGTACCACAATCGTTGGTTGTTTTCAAGGGGAACCAACAGGACAACCATCATTCAGGGGGACCCCTAAAAAGAGACATACCCACATCGTTCTTCAACACCTTTCTGGGAAACCCGATTCTTTCCAGAGAGCCTTGCTTCCAGAAAGCCAAAGTTGTGGGGGGAACTCCGAAAAACAAGCGTTGTGCAATACTTGAAGATCACGGGTTCGGAATCCACCACTAGAAGCCTGCTCGGGCCGAATCCGTATTTAAATGAGACCGGAACCCACCAAACAAAACAAAATTGACCGACTGAGCACTACCCTCGACAAAAGCGGTTAATCCCCAGTTCCAACCAATCCAAAGCATCCAAGGGGTACTTGAACGTCAATAAAAGGGGGTGGTCCCGAAAAAACCATGAAACAAAAAAACAGGAACAAAAGGAATCCGTTGCCATGTTGAGGTTTAGGGCGGTTTCCCATTACTCCCAAGGGCATAGGTGTTCTTTTGGTAAATAGATGTCCCTGGTATATGCCCAGTGGCCATGGGAAAAAGGGCGTCCTTTTTTGGTTGGTTGAGTTGAAAGAAATCGGAACCCTTCCAAAATAACAAAAAGTCGGAGAAAAAAAAGAGCGGAATCCACTGGACAACTGGGCCTATGCCCAAAGGGCTAACTTGAAAAAAACCCAAGGGTTGTCTGAAAACCAATAAAAAGGGCTGGTCCCTGGCAAGAAACCGTGGAACAAGAACACACCAGCCCGAAAAAAAAAACAAAAACAGACCAAACCCTACATCCCTACATCCAAAAACCCAACATCAAAAATCCAGACCAAACCCAACATCCAAAAGCCCGACCCAAAATCCAGACCTAACCAAAAGCCAGGCCACCAACCCATGGTCTCTGGGCTTCCCGGCGTTCCCAGAGCCTGCGGCGGCCTCTAACGGGAAGTCTCCCGCGAAGACGGGCACCTCGATGCGTCCGAGGCGGTCCAGGGCAGGCCCCTGGAGGTATTGGGCCAGGAGCTGTTGGGGGGCAAACCACAGAGAGGTGTCGTTTTTTTTGGGGTTGTTGGCCAAAAAAATGGTGGCTTTCCTTTTGGTGTCCCGAAATAAACACACACAAAAGAAGTGGGCGCAGCCACAGAAAAAACACCCAAATCGAGGTTACCCCTTTCTTTTGCTTTTTGAAGGGGAGGGGGACTCCAGACAAACTGGAGAAGGAGAAGTACTTCGACCCCCTGCAAAATGTGAACTCGCTGGTGGAAAGGGAGCATGGAAAACCCAAAAGGCGAACCGCGAAAAGGGCAGTTCACCAAGTCTGGCAAGGCTTTCTGGGGCAGGTGCAAACTAGTCAACGACTTCTCCATGCTCTCAAGTGCCATGGCCAAAACCTTAGCAAAAAGATTGCGTCTGGCGGCAAGAACCCGCTGGCTTCTTCTTTATGGCTGTTGAGTTGTTTATAGAAAATTGGGAGGAAAGGATGCTTGCTGGATGCCTCATAACATACCATACAAGATAAGATGAGGATCTACTCTTTATGTTGGATTCCAACTCGGCCCTGGACTACTTGGTCTCTTTAAATTTCGAAGATGTGGCACCCGACCACGGCAAACCGCTGGGTCGGGCGGCTAAATCGAAGTGGCCGCCAGCAAACGCCAGCTCCAGAGGCAGCAGAAGTTCATAGTCCCGCGCCCGAAGGTCGGCTCCTGCAGTCAGGGCCCCGGTTTTTCTTCCGCTGAGCTTTCCTCGCATGCGGTTGTTGCCTTCGGGAAAATGGGAGGGCTGGTGTTCACCATTGGTGCATCATGTAAGGAGCGATGCCTTTCAGGTCGCCCGCAAAAACTGAACCCACAAGGCAGGCCAAACACAGGGCCTGCTCCCGGCCAAACCTCGTCAGTTTGCGAGTGATGCGAATGGAAGAGGAATCGATGGCTTTGACTTTCCATGTGCCAAAGCACAATCATGGATTGCTTACAGGACCGGACCACTGTTGAGGAAAATGCAATCCAGGCTAGGTTTAAACCAATCCTAAACCACCCACCCCCAAGCCAACCCAAAGCCAACACTAAACCGCATCACACAAAAAAAGAAAAAGAAAACTGAACCATCCTAAAGCCACCTGAAACTCCCCCTACACAATGCTACCTAAATTCCACCCTAAAGCCATCCCCCACCAAACGCGGCTCTTGCATCGGATTCTTCATTCCGGGCCTCGAGGTGCGCATGGAACGCAATGCGGAACCGAGGAAAATTGCGAACTCGGCTGCTTTCCACAGTCGTGGAATTCACGGTGTTGCCTGGTTGGCAGCGGTTGGATGTGACCTGTGGCAAACCATCAATGAATCAGGGGGTTACCTGAGCTATGGCTACAAAACCGGCATTTGGGTGCGTGTTTCTTTAGCTACCTTCTCCAAAATGGTGGCTTCCTTGTGGTGTCCCTTTAAAAACCCACCACAAAACAGGCTCCCCTTCCAAAAAAAGGACGATGGTTCGGTGCAGGGTCCCCTTTTCGCCCTTGCCGCCCGCTTCCCCTGGTCTCCTTGCTCCCTGAGCCACCGCAAATTCCCGCCGGCCCCGGCCGCGGCGGCGTAGTGCGCGCAAAAGCGGCCACGGGAATCGCGGGCGCTGGCCACATCCTGAGGGCTTCTCAGATCTCGGTTGCTTTCTGCTCCCCTGCTAAAAGAGACTAGCTTTTAGTGTTTTAATTCGGAAAACCCACTAGTTGGCAACAAGTTACAGTCCTAACATCCATTCAAGATGCAACAAAGAGATGTTTCGTGGATTTTCATGGGAAAAGGATCGGCATCCGATTTCTTTACGTTGAGTTTAAAGGGGAACCCTTCTCCAACAAAAACGGAAAAAAAGGTTTAGCAACCCGCTGGGCAACTGGGTTTATTCTTTTTTCCCCCAACAGGCGATGGAGTAGCGCGATGCTACTCGGACAGTATAAGACCTGGTGCCATCCAAGTTGGAGCGGTGCAAATTTTCTAGGTACCACCGGCTCTTCCCCCAGCTGAAAGCTCTGGGGCCTTTGGGGTCTCTGCCCAAATAAGCTCTGGGATTTGGGGCGGCTCCGGGTCAGGGTTGAAGGGTTTCGGGGGTTGCTGTTGGGGATATGGCCGGTGTTGCAAGCGGTTGCAGCCGTGGATGGATCCATTTGCCGGGGGGGGTTGCGGTTGAGAATCGCCGGTTGCTTCTCGCTGGATGGGCGAAATCCATTTGAAGCACCAGTTGCAGGCGCGTAGAAGGGAGTTCGTCCATGGGTAGGTCACAAGAAATCCACCCACAGAAGGGGGCAAAAATATATTTGCAATTTTATCATTATCGTTTTTAGTCTACCCTGAAGTATTGCTTCAGAACGTACATAGCGCTCATCGGAGACAGGAAATCGGGGAAACCCATGGTTTGGTTCCTGCGACGTCCTTTTACAACCAGGGGGAAGCCTATGTTCAGAAACACCCAGAGGCACGAAAAGACGTCTGGAACTATAACTGATACTTGTTGCAAGGAAACAATACCACAACAAGTAGGACAAAATCCGGGGCTGACCATAGATGTTCATGACCATTTACTCGGGTATGTGCATATGCAGGGGTACCCATGTATACATGTACATATGTCTACATATGTTTACATGTTTTTCATACTTCTGACTTTCTGAGTCATTACCCACAAAACCCGAATAAGGCCAGGCTATGCATGGATCCATGTGGCACCACTTGGTAGGTGGTTTACCCCAGTGCTCAAGGGGGTTCATCCATGCCAACTGGTACAGCATGTTGTCCATCCACATAGAAAGAGTCCATGTTCCTATGATAATAGCAATTGAACACGGTTCATGTGCGTGTATTATCCGGTGGTGAATCAAATCGGGGCAAAGGAAGCAACAAACGAATTGAAGCCTGGTGGAGGGGGGGGGGGGTAATGGCTCATAACCACATGCCTATGTGTGTACAGCGTTTCTTGTGTGCATGCATGCAGGTATGAATGCATGCATGCATGCACGCATGAAAGCCAATGACACTTTGAATGCACGCACACATGCCCCGAAGATCCTTGACGTCTGAGTCACCTGGTACAGGAAAAAACGAAAGGGCTTTGTCTCCAACCAGGGCAACCCTAAAGTTGTGGTGATTCTTTGGGTTTTCGTGTTAAATCAACACTGAAAATGGAGATCTCTAGAGGAACGGTGCACAAAATACAGTCTGAATAGCGGTTCAAAGGGTCCGCGACCCACCAACAAACAATTCAGATCTGCAGGGGGAACGATTGTGATGGTCATTGGGGTTCCTTAGGCTGTGTGTTTCATTAGAGATGTTCAACATTTGCAAACACATGTAAGAAATGGATCGCAAGTAAGAATTTGTGGATCCACTACCTGTATAGTAGGTAACCAAGGGAACGCCATGAAAAAACGGCAGATGGGTGTGTCCTTCTTAAAGTTTAAAGTTGTTCGGAAGACCAAAGGGAAACCCACCATCTACGGGCTCTCCGAGTGTTTCCTTCGCAAGTCCATGGTACCCGGGGTGAACCCCCGCGTCGCGCCTCGGAATACCGGGCCAACAGCTCCAGGGTTTGGGAGGCATCGGACAACCCTGCCACCTGCGTAGATCGGCCCAAAGAAGCTCAAAACTTCAGCTCCAAGCCGTGCTGCTGAATCCCCCTTTGGCAAAACTCTGGGGTATGCGGCGCCCTCAACTTAAGGAACCCCTCTAGGGTTTGATCCCCAGTGCTACCGCATAGGGAACAATTTGGATGGGCTTGAGGGTACCGCCATGGGCCTTTCAAACATCTACTCAAACAACGCGCCTTTCCCGGCACGTGCCCCAATATGGTGCCCCACTATGCTACACCATATATATGCTTTTGTTTTTTTGCTTCAGTGCCCTATAAGTTCATGCTTCGAGTTAGCGGGGAACTTGGACACTCCACAGGCACCTAGTCAGTCTCCTTGATACCAGAAGGTTAGGCACTAGGGGCCAGAACCTACGTCTGTTTTCCTGTGAGAGCGGACAAAACACGGGGAAATGCCCTGGCAACCTGGGACGCACCAAGGACTGAAATCTTTGGGCCGGGGTTGTCTTGGGTTCCATCGGTTGGCAGGGTGTAGCCCTTGGAAAATCCTAATGGTTGCCCTTTCGCGGATCTGAGTCGGGAAACCCCAGTGTGCCGTTCAGTTGGGATCGGTGATCACACTGGGGCGCTCAATAGGACAAATGTCTTTCCAAGGCTTGGTTGACGTTGGGGTTGGGGAGCAACAAATTAAATTTTAGCAGTTATAAGTGGATTTGGATTTCAACCACTAAACCACAATAAGCAAAAATGGGAAAACTGCTTCCCAACAACAACCATGAAGGGACCGCATCCGTGCACCAAGGCCATGGGAGAACATCCAAACACGGCCGCGCACCGCCCGCTTTCTGAATTCAAGAATGCAAAAATGCAGGGCGCTTTCTAGGAGGACCGAGCCTCTGGCGGGATCGGGCAGAAAGTCGCTGTGAGTGATTCTCTTGAGGCGTGGTACTCAAAACACGCAACTTTTGTTTGGAGTCCAATCCCGATTTCGACGAACGCCATTATTTGTTGGGGGGTCATCTTTCTTTCTGTAGCTTCCGGGTTGTCGCGTGCCTGAATTTGACACAGAAAGTTGACTCCGAATGAATCAACCCAACAGTGATGATTCCCCACTCAACCCAGGTACATCCCCCTATTAATAAAGAGGGGTTGATCAGAATGGGGTCAACATTGCTCCTTTGCCCATGCTTCCAACCACCCGCGTTTCCCTTTCCGCCCGACTCCCGACTCAATCCCCCCCGCCGTGTGCAAGGGCAGCGCCCCGAGCGCAGTGCGCGCTGAGAAGTTGGCGCCCAACAGTAGCAGCTCCTAGCGAAGTACAAAAACAAGGAGCTCAGTACCTAGCCATACTCTCTTCATGAGTGGATTGGCCAGAAAAAGTCAAAACTGTTGATTTACCGCTACAGTGGTCTTCCAAGAAAGTGACTGAAGTCCATCAACCCAGGAAGTGAGCATATGGGTCTGTCTTTCTTGATGGTACTGCTTGTTTGGTGGTTTTAAAGGGAAACCAAAAGGAAACCGCTGCCATTTTGCGGGTCCAATCCCTGCAAAAGCGCAGGTAATATCCTCGACTGCCCCGAAATTCCTTATCGACCCCATGGCTTCCAGTCACAAAAGGGAAAGAGGATCTCCAGCAAAATCTACCCTCCCTCAACTCCATTTTTGAGTGGTAGAATCATCAATCCCTCTTGGCAGTCGGCAAAAAAAACTTGCTTGATTCTCAGGTGGTTTGGAGCGCGGTGGTTTGGTGATGTTCCGAAATGGGGTTCCACATGAACCCACTACAAGAACCAGGGGTTCAAATCCCCAGCTCCAACCAAACCAAGCACCCAACTAAGGATTTTCTTACCTGATCAAGAAATGTGCCCACCCCGAAGGTCCAAACCACCATCTAAAGGCGAGCTTTTCTGGCCGTTCCGATTTGACAAAAACAAGTGGTAACGTTGTCTTTTTGTTCCCTAGGGCTGGTGTTTCAGGGCGGGGCTGGCAACATCCCCAGCATCACCAGCATCACTGGCCTGGGGTTGCCTGTTGGCTCTGATTGGGTGGCAGTTGGTCCACCGCTCCTTTGCTCTTACCCTTGCTCAGTAGAGAGTGGGGGACTGAACCGAAAGGGGATTCCCTCAAAGGCAACCACCAGTTGGATGGTTTAGTTCGGGGTCATGCCATTTCTCATTCCCTGCCTATCGCACCAGCAATACCTTGCTGGGCTGTCCTCAGATCCCCTGCTCAAAGTGACTAACCTTTAGTGGGTTAAATCTGCAGACTCAACCGCTAAACACTAAACAAATCCAAAAAGCTACTTTGAACCAGATGGCTGGGATTCAGCAAGTAACAAACAAAAACACACACACACACAAACAAACATGGTTTCTATGTTGTTTCTAGATTTTCCTTTTTGTTTAAAAAAAAAAACAAAAAAAAAACAAAAAACACATACATACATATACATGCACATATATGTATACATATCTGTGTGTGTCAGTGTGCGTAACATCGGGCCTCCAGGAGCTGCCGCCCGGAGTTGAGGTGCACCAACTGCTCCCCCCGCTGGTTCTCCGTGAGCACCAGCTGCTGCAGCAGCGCGGGGGCCAAGCCTGGCACTCCGCAACTGGCAGGGCTGTGGGAAATGGATCCCACCGTGATATGACAAAATGGGCGTCCCAAAGACGAACCCACCAGATAAAAGGGAAGATGTTTGTTGGTATCACCTCGGTTGCGAACTCTGCTCCCCTGGTAAAAGTTTTTAACTTTCAGTGGTTTAGCGTGGAAAAACCCATTAGTTGTTAGTTGGCGAAAAGTTAGAGTCCTAGCAGCCAAGCAAAATGCACCAAAGTCACAGAAGTGGGGATAAACCCCCAGTGATCCCACAAACCTGATATGGGGGGATTCCCTTGGCGCCATTTCCCAGATCAAACTTAGGGGCATCAAACGGGGGAATCCTCCCGTATCAAACTGGTTCTCCCTGTATCCCTGCTAGTTTGTTATGGATTCGATGGAATGAACCTTACAGGTCAGAGCTCCTTGAATGCCCAATCCCAGAATTTGTTTTGGGCTCCCCACAAGGGTCGGTCTTGAGCAAAGCTCCTTGCAAAGCCTCATGTTCCAAACGAGCGGAAGTTGAGCATCACCCCCGCAGAATCACCTCCGCGGAACCTGTGCGTTTGCTCGTTTGCCTTGCTCGTTTGCCCGGCTCGTTTGCCCGGGTCGATGGTCCTTCCCTCGTCGATCCGACCGGGGGGGTTCCATGCTTGGCCCGGACGCTGCCAGGTAAGGCGCTCTGACAAGGGTGATAGGGGTGCGCCAAGTGAAGGAATCTGGCTGAAATGGGACATCCCAATCTACATCAAAAGGGGGTTTCTCCTCAACCTCTCAACCTGGCCTTTTTTGCGAGTTCCACCCATCTGTCCACTGACACTCCTCCCTTGCGATTCTCGCGCTATGTGGATGGGCCTAGGGAGAGTTGTCCAACGGCCTGTCTGGTTCCATTGCGAGGGTCGGGCAGAAAGAAGTGAGTTTGAAAAACCCGGCTGTTCACGAATGCGCAGCAAACCTGCAATTAAATGGCACCAGGTGATCACCTTGAAAGCGAAAAAGGTCAGGGAAACCAACCTGTCCAGGTCTTTGGGCAAGTGAGTTACAGAACGGCGCATCTAAGCAAACCATAGTGAGGCCCTGTGCAGCAAACCCACATCAATGAGTCTACTTTATGCAAACATGTTGACACACCTGTTATGTGTGAAACTCCTTGGCTTCCTTGATGAATGAATCGAAGCAAGAACCGAGCCAGCACGCTGTGTACCAGTTTTGCGTCTTTATACCGGAGAGCGGCTTCCCCCATTTTGGGGCTTCCCTCATTTGTTCATAGGTTGTGATTCGGGCACGAGCCTGTGCCCAGGCAATGGGTAAGTTGGGGTAAACAAGCCACAAAAGAAAGGTTCCCCAAAAGCAAACCAATCCCCGGTCCCAAAGATCAGGGTTTCCCACACACCAGAGAACAACAACCAAAGGAAATCAAACCAAACAAGAACAGGGTTAACCCGCAACCTTGGTCGACAACAGGCCGCACGACTGGTCCCTACCAACCTGGCGGCGGCCCGAGGTCTCTTTCTCCCCCGAGATGCCGTCGATCGACGCAGGGGTTCGGCGACGCCCATTCGAGGCGCGACGGAACCCAAAACTTGAGCCAAAACACCACAGGTCGGTCACTAACGCGACGTCCCTGATGATGATATTAACCATGGCTAATCACACCCCCCTCACGAGGAGCCCGTCATATGACGGGTGGAGCGTGCCATTTACTGATAGGATTTAACTGCTCGCATGCGTCCGCAAACAGCTGGACACTACCGCCGTCAGCGGTGGAGCAAACCCACAAAGGCAGTTGCGCGACATCCCGGGCATTAAATTCCCGCCACCACCCCGAATTAGTCGGGGTAACGCTGTCCAACATACCTTGTGGAAAGGTCCACATGACGACACTAGGTCACAACTGTTTGCATCAACAATGCAAGAAGTTTAATTCTTATCAGAAGCCATGAAATAAAAGATAACGTATGTCCATTAGTACCCTCGCCTAACGGCAAGAGGTACTCCTGACCATGCGTACCTGAAAAATGCTTGAATTCCGCAAACCCGGGAGTAACCCCCCATCAGTTTGCTTTCCCTCTCACTCACACTGCTTCCTGATGAACACGTCCAGCAGCCCAGCAGCGGTATGGGAGAGACATGACCTCCGCGCCTCAGCGGTCCGGGAGGAACATCATCACCTCCGCACCGCGCCGACCATTGGAGAATGGACGCAAGCCTATCGGCCGCAATCCTCGTGACTCAGCCTACCGGCTATCGTCACGTCTCCTCCGGTCACGTCCGCCCCGCGCACGGTCCCTATCACGATCCCTTTCGGATCTCCTGCGATCATCTCGCCTTCGATCTCGCTCCCGATCGAGTGAATCATCATCACGACGATCACGAGCATCGTCCCTCCTCCTGTCGCGATCATCCTCGCGCCGCGGACGGTATCTGCGCCTCCTCGACTCTCTGGAATCCCTGGTGTCCACGGTCCTAACGGACCTCCGAGAAGGAGTACGGGAAACATCCGATTCCCTACGCCTCCTCCCAGATCGAGAGTTCGTCACGATCTGGTTGAGAGCCTCCAGTGCCGACGCGTCCTCACCATTCCTGATGAAATCCCTGACCTGCTTGTTCAGCACTCTGTTGGTGGAGATCGACAAGAAAGCGTCCACCACCGAACTCTCAGGCAGCACCAGGAAGTGACCCTCCACCGGGCTCGCCGCAGCCCGCTCAGCAGACTGCAGCCGGATCTCCCCGCCTTCAGGCTTCTTTGCCATCGCCTTGGAGGCAGTCAAAGGCGCTACCGCATCCTTTGCCGAAGATCTGCCAAGCGCGGAGTGAAGATCATCCCCGCTAGCTTCTCTCGCTGCCGCACCTGGTCTGCTGTCGACGTCGCCAGGCCTCGTGGACGCCTCCCGCTTTGTCGACTCCTTCGCAGCCTCGTCGGGATCCCAACGGGATTTCCTTTCTCTCTTCTGCCCTTCGGCCGACCCGCGGCTACCGCCGGGAGCGTCACCTCCGCCTGTCTTCTCCTTCTTGACCTCAACCTTCGGTTCGGCCTGCTTCGTCTCCTTAGCCACAGCTTTTGGAGCCGGAGCACTCTTCGCCTCAGATGCTGAAGCAGCCTTCCCTCTCGGCTCGGCCTTAGGAACCGGGGTCATTTTAGCCTTGGCACTCGGCCTGGCCCCTTCAACCACCATCTCGGCCCAAGACTTCTTCGGCTGAGCTGCTGCTGTATCAACCTCCATCGGAGCAGGTCCAGCATCATCCTTCGCCTTTGGGACAGATGGGCTACCGCCCTTACCAGATCCTTTACCTGGCACTTCACCTGATTTTGGTGGTGGGCCGGAAGGACTACCGCCCTTACCGCCCTTTTCCCCCTTCTTCCCTTTTCCTTTTCCGCCCTTGGGAACCGGCTCCTGCTTGGGACCAGGACCCGGCGCAGCATGATGCACCGTTTGGAGTCCCTCGATGTCCACGTTCAATGGTTCGGGTTGACGACCGTCAAGAACCGTCCTCACCCTTTCGTCACTAACGTAGACGAACGGGTCACGGAAGGGTGCGGGAGGCTCCGACTGTCCGGCGCTGATCGCCTTCTGCACCTTTGCTATCGCCTCCTTCAACCTCTTCTTCTCATCGTACCCTGTCTCCGATACCATGTACTGCCTGAGCTGCGAAATCAACGCAGGACTCTCCAGGATGTCCACGTCCTTTCGATGGGTTGGGTACAATGGGGTCAGATGACCAGCCGCGGAGCCAATCACGTATGCCATCGGAATATAGAATGACAAGTACGTGTCATGACGAGCGAACTTCCTAACGGAAGTCGTCATACGCCTACCCCACTGAGCAGCGTGTCTTGGGTTGGCCCGGAAGTACTCCGTGACCGACTCAAATCTATCGACTTGGTTGGTCTTGATCAGGTGCTTCGCCACCCACTTCTCCACGAACGCATCCGAGGCCGAAATCCCGGACACATAGGAGAATTGGAAGAGCACCTTCGCCAGCTCATCCCACGCCGCATCGACACCTCCCTTGTCTTCACCAAGATAAGGGGGAAGTCTGATGCCGCTCTGCACCGTCATCCTCAGATCGGATGCCATCGAATAGGAAATCAAATTCCTCTTGATTACTCCGACCACTTCGGAGGGAATCCTCCTGGGCTTGAACTGCCCCATGGTCCTCACCCACTCCGGCACGATGTGGCACCTTTCGAAGTCCTTTTCCTCCGCGTTGGGGATAAAGTTCGGGTAAAAGACCGGGAGCGCGCACCCGGGACACAAGTGCATCCCATTTGGCATCAATTCTGCGCACCTCAAGCAGAACGTGGCAGTCACATTCAGCCTGATCTCTTGCCGTGATCGCCTGTGCTCTCCCCTAACGGGGGTGAAGTCACCGTAGTCCCATGCCCGATGGTACACTATCGTGTAATCATCGTACATATATGCCGCCTTCCAAGCCCCCATGTGGATCTCGTTCCTAACGGCAAGAGTCTTCCTTCTCGTCAAAAACACGGGTCCAACCAAGGACCAGTGCACCTGAAGATCCACCATTACCACCACGTACCTACCGGAGTAGTTCCGCAGCCTGTCCCTGACATACCACGAAGGCGATACCTCGGCATCCGGCGCCATGGCTCCCACGAGTGGGATCAGGCCCTCATCCTGCCTACCATCCCCAATGGTCTCGTACACATCGGGCCTCGTGATCAATATCTCGATCATGGCCTTTCCATTTCGCCTCACCCTTTGGAGCTGAACCGCCTTCCGAAAGTCCGAGAACTTCATGATGACGTATCCCACCATGGGGAGTTCATTCCAATGCATTTCATACATCAGAGATCCGCCAGGTGCATCTTCCTGAGTATACCTGTGCCTAACGGCACTGTAACTCAAGTCGCGTCCGATCCGCGTGTGCCTAACGGCAACCAACCTGGTGCTCTCTTTGAGGAGAACGCCATCCCCGTCGTACATGACCATGAGCATCGCCTCCACTTGCCCTATCGGGAAAGCTTTAAGCGTCGGAATGAAGAACTTCCAAGACATCTCAGCGTTCTCCATGCCCGAAATCTCCTTCAGGAACCAGATGGCCTGGTCACTTTTCACCCAGTTTCCAGCCTCGCGTCCGGTCTCCTTCAGCACACGTTCCTCGAATAACTCCGAGACTCTCTTTGAATTGATGACCAGGCCGTCGAAATCGCACGAGAGCAGTCTCATCAACTCCTTCGCCGCCTCCCGTCCTGCAACAGTGCCCACGGTCTCCTCGTAGTTCGGGAGGTATTCACCCAACCTCGTCTTCGAGGGAACCACAATCTGGCAAGTGACGGCCTCATCAGGGATAACTCCCGTTTCCCTTAACTCTGGATTGATCTCTCGCCTATCGGCAAGATAATCCTCCTTCCCATCCAGTATCACAAGATTGTAGGTCATCTTGCTCGCCGCCCCACTAGGCCTGAACTTCCTGCTATCATCCAGCTGGTCAGGAGCAAAGGGTCCACTAGGGGCAGCTGCACTCACCAGAGGCGCCCCTCGCCCAGAGCATAGGTGCCTTTTGTGAAAGTTCACCATCTGATTCAGCTGCGATAGTGCATAGGCACGATCCTCCAATGACGCACTTTTCATCCCAGCCTCAGTCAGAGGAGCCTCAGGCTTGTCATAGCTCGCCTTTCCGCCCCATCTCGCCGCGACCAGCTCAGCAGACTTCGCAGGGTCGATCAAATTTCCCGACCACTCAGGCATGTTGCTCAACCTCCTAGTCAACGCGTCTACCGACGCAGCCAAGTCTTCGTCCGTCACGGTGTAAGGGTCGACCTTCTCCCTGTCTTCTTGACCCACATCCGGAAGCCTATACTCCCCGCGGATGGCCTCCAGCGCGGCCCTCTCGGCTTCCTCAGCCTCCTTCTGCGTGGCCACTGCCCTCGGAATCAAGAGCGCTACCTCGGCCGGCAGCGACTTCTCCATGTCTATCGGAGTGTTCTTGGGAAGGATCCTTCGATCATCTCCCTCCCCGCTGTATTCATAGGCAGGAGCAGTCTTCCGATACTCCTCGACGGTAGCCCCTTTGAAGTTGGTAACCTCAT